TTATGACTTTCTTGAAAAAGACACAAAATCAATAGGTAATCAACTTATTCATATGAGAACTGACCATGGTACGGAATTCGAAAATTCCAAGTTTGATGAATTTTGCAGAGAACAGGGAATAAGTCACAATTTCTCAGCGCCAAGAACACCACAACAAAATGGTGTGGTTGAGAGGAAGAACCGAACATTGGAAGACATGGCAAGAACAATGCTAATAGCAAGTGGGCTTCCAAGGAATTTTTGGGCAGAAGCCGTCAACACAGCATGCTATATCGTCAACCGAGCCATGCTCAGACCAATGTTGGACAAGACACCTTATGAATTGTTAAAAGGGAGAAAACCTAATATTGCTCATTTAAGAGCTTTTGGATGCAAGTGTTTTGTTCACAATAATGATAAAAGAAATCTTGGAAAATTTGATGAAAGGAGTGATGAAGCAGTCTTTTTAGGATATGCATCTAATAGTAAAGCTTATAGAGTTTACAATAAGAGGACTATGTGTGTAGAAGAAAGTATACATGTGATTTTTGATGAAACTAATAATTATGAATGTGTACAGGAATATGAAGATGGAGATTTCGAAATTGGTCTCACTCGTTCAACAGACCAAGATGAAGAATTAACTCCCAAAAAGCAGCCTGTTCGAATTACTGAAAATGCTGATAAGGAACCTACTGAAGTTCCAAACAATACTGAAGCCTCTGATCAAAATACAGAAGAAACAGAAAATACAGAAGGCGAAGCAAATGCAGAAGCAGAACACCATGAAGAAATGGAAGAAAGAGCAACTCAAAATATTGAGCCATGTTGTTTCAAGTTCCCTTTTCATCATTCTTTACTCTCTGTATCATGATCACGTAAATTATCATCATAATTTACAATCAATTTGCTCTTATTTATCTTTTTCATTTTTTATCTGTTTTTCTTCTTGTTATTTTCTTTCTTATCTTTTATTTCTATCTTATTTTTTATTCTTATCTTTTTCCTTCCTTATTTTTTCATGATCAATTTTTCTATTCCTCATAACATTCAAAAATACAAAAAGATTTTTTTTTTTTCACGTAAGATAAGGAGCTAACATATTCACTACTCCTTAACTTCCGTATTTTTATCTATCTTATTATTGTGATACGTTTGAAAGATGCAATTATTACATCCTATTAAACCCATACTACCCCTAAAACTACCCTACTACCTTACCATACAAACCGTCACTTTTTCTCACCCTTCCCAATTAAATTTTTTTCTTTAACACTCCACCTTCACCCATCAAATCAATTAAACTCCCCATAAACTTCCATAACCGGCCTCACTCTCTCTCCTCCCTATTCGCACTATTCATCTTCTCCTTCCTTTCAATTCATCCTCATAACCATGAAAACCAACCTAACCTCAACCCCGAAACAACCAAAAACCCGGAAGCCTTCCTCTGTTGGCGGCTCCCCTGAACCAGTCCCACTTGCCGTTGTTCACCCTCAAGCTTCGACAAAGAGAAAGGCTACAACCGTGAAAGGAGGTGACAGAAAGAGGCAAAGCTCTCAAAAGTCTCCATCTTGGAATTACACTCACGGTTATCACATCAATTATGACTGGTGTACGGCAAGTAAGTTCTCCGAATTCATCTCCTTAATTGATTATCAAGAATGGGTGCATTTGTTCCAAAATTGTTCTCACTATCCAATTTACCCTAAGCTTTTGTTTGAATTCAAAAATACTTTCAAACACAACAATGGTGTTTGCACGGCTACGGTCAACGATACTCACATTCATTTTGATATTGCATATTTAGGGAACTTGTTTCAAGACCCCACCTCTGGCTATAGTTCATACCTAAAACACAAGCAAATTGTGCAAATTGGGCATTATGATGAGAATAGGGTTATTAAATTTATCGGTGGAAACCCGAAAAGCAAGACTTCGCATCATAACATACTCACCCCTCTTCACAAATTATTGTTCAATTTCACATGGAGAGGCATTGTTCCTCGTTTGCAAAAACGTAGCACAGTATCCCTACTAGATGCAACCATCATCTTTTGTCTTGCTCGGAAAATAAAAATAAACTTTCCAAAGTTGATGATTGAACATTTGGCTTTCTATGCAAATAAATCTACTATTCCATATGGATCTCTCCTCACTGTGTTGTTTAAGTCTTTTGGGATTGATGTTGAAAGTGAGTCACCCACTTATATTAAACCTGAGAACATTCTCTCGGAGCAATCTTTGCTTCGCCTGAGCCTTAAACTTGAGAGTGGGACACTTACTTTCTTGACGAGAGGAAGTGAGGAGAAAAATCGTGGAAAAGGGAAAACACAGGTTGTAGAGGGAGATACAAGTGAGTCAGAAGAGGAGGAAAGTGAGTCTGAAAAAGAGGAAAATAAAGAAAAAGGAGAGGAAGAAAAAGGAGAGGAAGCAATTTCTGAGGGGGAACCTCAGGAGGCAGTTTCTGTGGAAGAAGAGGAGACTCAGAGTGAGGGGGAATCTAGCTCAGAAAGTGAGAGTCTCGACCTCCCTTATACAGGAGGACTAAGGCGGAGTAAGAGGAAAATTGTCAAACCTGCTACTTCTACTCTAAAGCCTGTGATCATTGAAGACATTAGCTCTTCTGATCACTCAGACCCTGATTTCACCCCTACACAAGTTCCTTTTGCCTCCGAGCCATCTCCTGTTCCTGCCTCTCCCACAAACCAAGCTAAACCCTCTTCCCCTCCTGTTTCACCAAAACAGACTTCTCCCTCTCCCTCCCCAGCTTTTCCTACATCACAGCCTACAGGCTTTGCTGCCTTCTCTGGAACAAATGCTTCTGTTTTTGATATTCAACAGGTGAAAGCAGAAATGGAGAAGCTGGTAAAGATGGTGTGCACAAAGCTGGAGGACATGGCAAAGCAGCTGGCTTCTCTTCAACGCCAAGTGCAGGCTGTGGCAGATGCTCAGGCAACCAGTTTTACTGGGATGGAGAACAAAGTTGATGCTGCTGAGAAGAACATACTGCACAGCACTCAGGAGATATTGGAGACGATTAACAGGGTGGCTTTTGAAGAGGTGGAGGAAGCTTCCAATGACCCCAAAACCCCAGCTGATGAACCTACTTACTCACCATAATTGCAATTTCAAACTTGTCACTTTTACTTCTTTTGTTTTTGCTTGTTCCATTCGGATTTCAGTTTGTAACTCATAACTTTTGCTACTCTTTCCTGCTTTTGATTTTCGTCTATGGGAACTTGGCTCGTATTTTTCATATGATTGTGTGTGTTTGCTGATGATTTAGTACCTAACTTATTTTTGCCTTGCATTATTTGAGCTCACTATTCCCTACGTAGTCTAGTGGGAGTATAGCAAAATGTTTTTTTCAATCTTTTGATAATGCCAAAAGGGGGAAAAAGACAAACTTCATGGCGGCTAAGGTGTTTACCAAGGAACTCACACATCGAAGGTACAAACTTTTGCTAAGTTCAGTTTTTAAAGTCTTTGTTAATTTTTCTTTTGCTCAGTTTTTTTTAAAAAAAAAAAAAAAAAAAAATAATAATAAAAAAAAAAAAAAAAAAAAAAAAAATACTTTTTAATATTTTTCTAAGTTCTTTAATTGTTTTTTTTGTTTTCATGCCTTACTTTAAATTTTTGTTGCATGCCTGGATGATTTTATTTACCTAAGTTTGTCAATGTTTGTCATCATCAAAAAGGGGGAATTTGTTGAGCCTTTTGGTTTTGATGGACAAATTGACAAACTCGACTAATGAATGTTTTGAGTCTTTGGTGAATAAAGGATTCAAGCAAAGTTCGTTCCGGAGTAGGAACTTGGATGCGGAGTAGCATTCTTTAAAAAGCCTCGTGCAAATCTCACGTTCTAGTTTTAATTGTGAGCACTCAATAATATAAAGTCGGAAAGGAACTCAATGACTTATGTTAAAGACTACTGGAATAAAAGTTAGTTTTAAAAGATAATTTCTTAAAGAAAAGATAATTTGTAAAAGTTTTAATAAAGATAATTATCGAAGATAATTATCTAGTTGTTTTAATAAATAATAAATTTATCTTTTCAAATAAAATCTTTTTAAACAAACTTTTGATAATCTTTTAAATAAAATATTTGATAAAGTTAGCAAGTGGTTTTTCTGTGAGAAAATCTTTTATACGGCTAATGGTTATCAAGTTGTTAGGATAGTGGTTTAATTAGATAAGGCTAGGAAACCTCTTCATGATCACAATCTGTCAAGATAACTCCACAAGTTGTTAGTGGGTTGTTGACATGTGGACGTGATTATGGTGGAGGTTAATGACTAAGCCTTCTCTATAAATACTCGTGCAAACTATCTCAGAAAAACATAACTCTTAAGCATAAAAATTCCAGTAGCCATCTAATAACATAAAGAGAGTTATTTTCCTTCATATATTCTTGAGTGCAATAGGTATTTGTAATCACAGATTGTATACAAGTACTTTGGGGTTGGGATTGTGAGTTTGTAAGGTGAGGTTAAGGAAGCTTCGTTGCTGAAGTCTTCTGTGAGAGTTGGGAACAAGTTCCTAATTTGGGGAACTTGTTAACGGGTTTGAATCTTCACTTGTACAGAGTTTGATTACATAGTGGAAATTTAGAAAAGCCTATATCTTCTCTCGTCATTATTTCATTTAGTTAAATTCCGCAAAAAGTTTTTAGATTTCACCTCAAATACAATTCACCCCCCCCTCTTGTATTAGCCAGTTAGACTTTCACTTGCCAATGTAATAGAATTTTCTTTAAGCTCTAATTTCGGGCTAGGGATATGGGTCATGCACTGAAACATTTACAAGGATTCAGAGGGCAGTAGTTCTCTGGAAATCATTTTATTTATTGAAAAACGTGTTAATGGTGCCATAATACTTGAGTAATGTATGTGAAACAATGATGAATCTGCATTTCCTATGTTCATACCTCTGTCAAGAAATTGGACCCAAGTTGTATCCTGTGTTTGGGCTGTCATTCTTTGGTAACAATATTTACACCATCCAACTGTGATATGCAGGTAACTTTGTCTTTTCATTTCGACCCGAGATAAAGGAGGAAAGCGGTTTTTGGAAATCTTATACAGTTGAATGGTCTGAAAACCTTAAAGGAGAAAAGGCCGTTCGTCTATCAGGCGTCATTGATAAATTAAGTTACCAAGTTCGAAAAGCTTTCTCTGCTGAATCTTGGAAGTATTCCTTTAGCACTGCTAGCTGTTTAGTGAGATCTCAAGATATTCATTTGGCTCAAATGCATTTCTTGGTTCAGAGAATTGCCAGAAATGTACCTTTTATGCAGCCTAATGGTCATCGTCAAAGTAAGACATCATCAATTTCTTTGCAGGAGCAAAAGGAGATTTTTCTTCTTCCAACAGTGCGAGTATCTAATTTACTTGAGACAGAGATTGATGTACTTCTAACTGAGACAGGTACAGTTATTTATTTTGATTGAATGTGACTTGTATGTATGTTTCCTAATCCCATTCTACCCTGTGCAGAAACTACAATTGATGGCTTAAAGAACATTAACCGGGCAACTATTCAATCCCGATCTACTGCTGATCTGTTTGCCAATCCTGCTGTTATATTCTTCAACATTACATTAGCTATGTTTAGCTATAGCTATAGCTGTAAGCCTGTGAACTGCAGTCAATGGCTCAAAAAGTTGAATAAGAAGAATGATGGTATTCAATTTCTAGATATTGATTTGGAATTTTGTGGTGGAACTTTCTTTGCTTGTTTAAGATTGGCTCGTGGGAATAGGGGCGTGCTTGAGGTAATGACGCTACAAGAACTTTGTTGCAGATGTTAGAATCTGATTATAAGTTATAAATTCGATGTTTAGCTGAAGAAGTATTACTTTACTCAATTTATGGTTAGATAAACATATGAAAAATGTTTGTGATGCAGGCCATTGTCTTTACACAATACACATTGAGAAATGACACTGATTTTCTTCTGTTCTGTGCTGCTCCACATCTGAAACCATTATCTAGGTGCTCACTATACCTTAAACTATGATATAACAGCTACCAAGCTGTTGTACATTTTATTGTGCTCCCTTGATGTAAAACATGTAAAAGTTATTTCTTATTGTATGCAGGGATGATGCTGAGAGGCATGCGATTACAAATCCTCCTCAATTTGGGACTCTTTTGCCTCCAAAATCACCCAGATCTTGGTTCATGAAGTAATATTTTCCTGATAATCTATAAGTTTATTATCTCTATCCCTCGGCCTATAAAGAGAAGTTTTGGATTATGAGAAAAGAAGAACTCTGACATGTATGTATTTCTGCTTCTCAGATCAAGTAAGCTGTGTATTCAATTGTTGGATGAAGAATCATCCAAATCAATCTTGGACTTGGAAGCCCTTTCAGGCTTTGCAGAGATAAGATTTACCAAGCTGCAAGGATCTGGGATCAAATATTTGGTCAAGTTGGGGATATCTTTGGGGCCATTAATGAGTACATTAGATGTCCCGGCACGAATGGTCTCTGTTGTTCCTCGATATATTATATCCAATGAATCAGATGAACAGATATTTGTCCGACAATGTTTCTTAGAGGTTTACCCTTAATTCATTTGCAGATATTCTTATATAAAATTTCTAATTCCATTATGGGGTTAAACTTTTTATCACTGATTTCATTTTACTCTGATTGAAGGATGACTTTGGGGAGACAGTAAGTATCAACAGTAAGCAGAAAACAGCATTTTTTTTCACGGTTAAATCCCGTGATAAGAAGGATATCTCCTTTTTCAACAAGCTTCTGCAAAAGCACAAGTTCTCAGACGACGACACATCAGTTTTTGTGCAGTTTAGTCCAAATGAAGCTGTGTGGGGATGGTCAGGTCCAGTTTGTGTGGCTTCACTTGGATGTTTTTTCCTAAAATTTAGAAGACATGCTGAATCGTCTGTGCATCAGTTGGATATTGTCCCAAATGCAGATGGCATTACTTGGGAGTATGCAGCTGTTCATGTGGTTGAGGAGGGTCCCACCTTTGTTCTGCATTTCTATATACCACCAGATACTGGTTTGCCCTATCGAATTGAAAATAACCTTCATGATGCTTCTATTACTTATTATCAGAAGGTTTTTTCCCACCTAGCCTAAAAAGTATATAGTACCACAATTTGCAAAAAAACTTGTGTCATTTACCTCTTCTGTGCTCTCCTCTAATTGCTGTAAGTTTCCAGGATACATTTCAGCCAGAAACTCTTGCTTCTGAGGCCAGTGTAAGTTATGTCTGGGATGACTTGACTCGACCACACAAGCTCATGGTCAAAGTTAATGGTAATTTCCACCCTTCTTGAGTGTAATTATAACTGGCAATGGTAGAACTTGAGCATAAATATTGAGGGGGGCGGAGCAAACCTTGAACCTCTTGCTAAATAATAAGATAACTTCCTGGTGTGGTATAACTTATTTGTACATTTATGAGAAGCATCCTTTTACTTCTTAATTATTTGAGTATAAAGTTCTGCCCCTGAAATTTAGTTAAAATGCCGCATTGGATTATTTTAATTTTTATGATATTTCTTGGCTCCCTATGCTTTCTTAGGTACTCATATGATACGTGAAATCAGCATTGATAAACTGCGCTCATGGAAATCCTTTTTTCGGGTTCAGAGACAGAGTGATCTGATGTCTCATCTAACTGGAGATACCAGCAGTTCTGACAGAAGGAGAACAAATCCCGCTCAGATGAATGGTACTGATGTGGGCAACGTGGGTTATGAAGTTTACGTTGATGGTCCAACTCGTGTTCTGCGAATTTCCCACTCACCTGGCAGACGCAAAGCTGATAATAAGTATCAGTCTTGCAAGAAGATTCAGTTGAGAATCTCTTATTTTGCCATACACTTACTTGAACCCTGCAAGCAGGTGAGTCAAAGAATGCAACTTGGTTTATGTAATATCTTGTTTTTGATGCTTAGTACTGAGATGTAGTGTAAGGTGAGGATGTAGTTATCTACGCTTTTTAACTTTTTGACACTGCCTTTCTCTTTGCTTATATTTTTTAATACAAGTCAAAAAATTTCAATTTGCTGATCATCGCGAAGTCTCTCAAAACAAAGATATAAAGACCATTTTATCAAATGTCTTTTGTGGAAGCCCCAGTTTGTCTTTGTGTGATGTGTAGAACTGTGGACATACTGTATGCTATCACATAATTATGTCCCTGATTAATTTTGTAACTTGTAGTGGATATATTAGTTTTCTCACAAAAATTATGCACTATTGGATGGTTCTTTAATAATTCCAATTTCTATTTTATTTTAATCTCTGCAAAATATTTTCAATTCAATTTAGGACCAGCCGGAGGATGTGGATCCTTATGATCTATCAAATTACACACCAATTATTATCGGGAGACTAGAGAACATTAGTATTGATTCCATCATCATTGATCAACGGAAATACAATCAGATAAGAGTACAGGTTAGTTCATATTTTCTCCCTTCTTTGATGTTGCTATATTTGATAGCTCATTCTTGAATCTTTCCTTAACTGCTGATTACTGGCCTCCTTGGACAAACAGTATGTGAAAGATGAATTGTGGATTGCTTTTATATTTTTCAGCGATGTGTTACATAACTTTTATCAACTCTTTGTTGCAGTCTATGCATTTAGATGAAAAATGGGTTGGAGCTCCATTTGCGGCCATGCTCAGAAGACATCTGACATCCAGCAATGTCACTGATGACCCTATTCTCTTTGTTGCCTTTGTCTTATTTCCTACTACCTCAAGTATTCGAGATGTCAGATACTCATCTATTATTCTGCAGGTATGAATGGGCACGCTTTGTTTTGCTTGCTACTCTGTTATTGCTTTCCTGAGTACTAATATAGTTAGCATGTAGTAGACCTTATTATACTTATATTTTATTTATTTATGCATGCAATTTGATGAGTATAGATCTAATTGCTCCTTTAATAACAGCCAATTGATCTAAATCTTGACGAGGAGACATTGATGAAAGTTGTTCCATTTTGGAGAACATCTCTCAGCTCAAATACTCAAAGTCAACAATATTACTTTGATCATTTTGAGATCCACCCAATAAAGGTCAGTGGGGTTTCTTGGCCTTTCCGAATAACTGATCTTAATTATAGCTTCTATTTGGATCTGGAACTTACTTATTCTATGTTGTTGAGATCACGGCAAGCTTTCTCCCAGAGGATTCATATTCAAATTACAGCTCAGGACAAGAGGCACTGAGGTCTCTGTTGCATAGTGTCATTAAGGTAAACGAGTGTGATTTCATCATGAGCTTATTGATTGTTTATTTTACTCCGTTCATTTATTATCTTAATCTTTCATGATCATTAACTAATTTTGTGATCTCAATAGATCCCGGCCATTAAGAATCTAGAGGTAGAACTCAATGGTATCTTTGTTACTCATGCTTTAGTTACAACTCGTGAGCTACTTTTAAGATGTGCACAACATTATTCATGGTAAGTGTGCCTGTTTTGCTGCATCCTTCTTCTGAATTTCTCTTCTCCTTATAAGTTGCTTATTCTTGTATAAAATGATGGCTTTTAGGTATGGCATGCGGGCTATCTATATTGCAAAGGGAAGCCCACTGCTCCCACCAGCTTTCGCATCAGTCTTTGATGATTTGGCATCCTCCTCACTGGATGTATTCTTTGATCCTTCCAGTAACTTGTTTAATGTTCGAGGCCTCACTCTAGGTAAGACATTATAGCCAACTTTTTCCCCCTCTTCAATTTTTCGACCTGTAGATGCACTACTCCTCTTGCTTAGACCATTACATGGTATATTGGTACTAACTAGATTCTTATGTAATGGACCAATCATTATTCAACACACACGCACTAAGCATTAGATGAACAGCATACACACTAACCTTACGTGAACATATTACCTGATTACCTCCCTTCAGTTTCTTCCTTTGTTTTTCTCTTTTGAAGGACTATTTCCCACTAAGCCTTGAGTGAACAGGTTACCTGATGTCATGATCACCTCCCCTCAGCTCCTTCCTTTTTATTCAGAAAAAAAGTGTGTGTGTGGGGGGTGGGGTGGGGGGGGGGGGGGGGGGGGGGGGGGGGGGGGGGGGGAAGGGGAGGTGTTATCTACTTTTTTTAAACTCGAAACCCCTCAGGATTTTTTCTTACATCCTTTCTCTGTAGTTTCTGGTTGCCTCCTTTTGACATTTCTGAATATTGTGCTGTATATAGTGGTCACATTCATCTCTAATGACTTTGTCACTGTAATGTTTTTCCTGTTTCCTATAATCCTAATTGATTCCAAAACAAGCCTAACGTCTGCATCATTAGGCCGTGAACTTCACCTTATTGACTGACACTCTAAATCCTTGGAGTAAATTAGTATTGTGACCGAAATTGTATTTTCCTTGAGTTCAAGTGATATTCTTGTCACCCAAAGCCATAATATGCTCATGCAATAGTAAAAGTGATCAATGTGTATATCTATCCTTTTGCCTTGAATCATCCCTCTTAGATATCTAAAACAATATACTAATTTCCTTTCATATTTTTTTGAAAGCCAAATTTTAATTGCAAGTCTATGACATTCCTCTTGTGAGTCTTTTCACTAAAAAATTTCCCCTTGCTATATTTTACCCCCTCCGTCCCCTAATACAAAGCCTCTTTTGGTTTTTGCGCGGGAATTAAGAAAGTTGTAAATTCTTTAAAAGTAATGATTAAAAGTACATATGTGCATGTGGGGTTAGAGAGAGATAGAGAGAAAGAAAAAGTAGTTTGGAATAATTGAAGAGATAGAGAGAGAAAGTGTTGGAAATTGATGTTAAAAGTACAAAAAAGTAAAGGAAAAAAGATAACTTATCAAAAAGAGGGTAATAATGTCAAAAAATACAACCTTTAAATAGAAAGAGGCATTGTATTTTGGTTTACCCAAAAAGGAAATGAGGCTTTGTATTAGGGGACGGAAGGAGTACTTATTTCAATAGAAGGCGCGCGTGTGTGTGTGTGTGTGTGGTGTGGACTCCTTCCATCCTTTATGCTCCATACAGCTTTACATATATTTTGGCCAACTTATTAAGAAGCCTAACTTTCGGTATCTTTTTCCTTTGATGCTCATGTCAAGTCTTTTCTGATAAAAGAGTTTAAGATGGGACTGGAGGGATGTAAATGTTGATTATTTAACCCAAAAAATTTGTGCAAACTCGTTAGTTTACTGAAAAAAGTGTAAAAGACATGAGTAATATTTATTGAGTAATGGAGTACTATGCTGAATTTGACTTTCTCTTCCAGGGTAAGAATTATAGACTTAATCCCCCCCCCCCCTCCCCCTGGCTCCCCCAATGATGTTTTTGCTGATTTATTAGTTTTTGGGACAGGGACGTTTAAGTTAATCAGAAAGTGCATTGAAGATAAAGGTTTTTACGGAACAAAGCGATATTTTGGTGATCTTAGCAAAACTGTAAGTCTTCTGTCTACCACCTTTCACTATGACATGTGCAGTTTCTCATTATGCGGTGTTTTGCAGTTGAGAAATGCAGGATCCAATATACTTTTTGCTGCAGTGACTGAAGTATCAGACTCTGTACTCAAGGGTGCAGAAAGCAGTGGTTTTAATGGCATGGTATTTTAGCCTAAGCTTTTGCATACTGCATTACTGCCACTTTGATTCATCCTTTATTTGGCTAAGATAACCAACTTATACTGCTTGACCCATTTCCTCATCTTACATATAGGTGACAGGTTTTCATCATGGAATACTGAGGTTAGCCATGGAACCATCGTTATTGGGAACAGCATTCTTAGAAGGAGGCCCTGATAGAAGAATCAAGCTTGATAGAAGTCCTGGGATCGATGAGGTAAATCTCAGTCTGCAGAATTTTGATGACAATTCTTGGCCTCTTTTTCATGCCTGTTAAATTGTGAATGTGACCCACTGTACCATAATCCATGCCAAATCATGTATCAGGAGAGAATCAAATGAGGTGTAGGAGGATGTAGAATCTTGTTTTTATTCTAGTTCTGCTTGCATTGGAATGGAAATGAAGGCCATGCTATTTTTCCAAGATCAAAGCTTGTTTCTTCCATAGGCCAGTAGGCCACTGACATTAGCTCTTGTTATGCAGTTATATGTTGAAGGATATCTGCAGGCTATGTTGGATACAATATATAAGCAGGAATATTTGAGGGTTAGAGTCATTGATGATCAGGTACTTATGTTTAGTTGTATTTGGTGATATAGTTGAATGGATTTTGACAGCTTATCATAATATGAGAGGAACAACTGAGGGGGAGTGTATACTAGTATTAGCTAGGTGCTATATACGAAGTCTATGTATCTTTAATATGCTTTAGTGAGCTCACTGGATACTTGTGTTCAGTGAAGTAAATATTTATATCAATGATCCTGAAATATTTGACAAGACAGTATTCACTTTTTCTCATCTAAGCTCTAATTCCTGTAATTTATCAAACACACTTTAGTCTTTGTTAATTTCAAATTCTTAACCATTAGGGGTAGGTAGGCTGCTTATGATCTTCCATACCCTGACTACGTGGAGTGCTTTCTGGGTTACTTGGAAATGCAAATAGAACAAATGGATTTATGATATGTCCAGTACATTGTGTATCAGTTAAAATATTAACTGGACTTAACCATCCTATCATACTGTTCATAAGTTTAGTTCAGGATATGTAGGTGTTTCAAGTTATTTGATTGAGCTAAATGTTTCTTCTGGTGATATAGCATTTTGAGATATATACATTATTCTTGGCAGGTTATTCTTAAAAATCTACCCCCAAACAGTTCACTTATTGATGAGATCATGGAAAGGGTGAAGGACTTCCTTGCTAGCAAGTCCTTGTTAAAGGGAAACTTTTCAACCAGGTCCCGCCCTCTAAGGCACCTTCGAGGAGAGAACGTAAGTGTCACTGTAACTCTTAACTTTAGTTTTCTTATTTAGAAAGATGCAAAAGTTGAATGATAATTGACATATGAAACCTGATTATGGTATTAGTTTTTCCTATTACTCAGTGGGTATTAAATTTTGCCAGCCCCTGGGACCGTTGCAAGTCATTTGCAACTTTGTATTAACTCCTAACTCAAGAAATCTTTCTTCTTTTTTTTTTTTTTTTTTTTTTTTTTTTTTTCGGGGTTATGTTGGGAGAAGCAGAGTATGTGCAAAACCTCAACTCATTATTGATATACTAGTAAATGTTTTAAGAGATTGGTTCCTGGAACTTCTTAAATACTAGTATAAATTTATTATAGAACAATGTTTGAACGAAAATAACATTATGTTAATGCAGGAATGGAGAATTGGGCCAACTGTTCTAACTCTGTGTGAGCATCTGTTTGTGAGTTTTGCAATCCGTATGCTGAGAAAGCAAACAGACCATGCCATGGGAAAACTTAAGTTGAAGAGAAAATGGGTGCATAGTCGCAAAGAGAGTGAATCATCTACTGGTGCCATTGCCACCTCTAAGGAACCCAAGGGGAAGTTTATTTGGAGATGGGGAATTGGGAAGTTTGTCTTATCAGCTTTGGTGGCTTATATTGATGGACGATTGTGTCGCTGTATACCAAATCCTGTCGCAAGAAGGATCGTAAGTGGTTTTTTATTGAGTTTCCTTGATAGCAGTAACAACTCTAAATGATTGATAAACTTGTACAGTTTCATTTGGAGATAGTGCAGGGGTTCAGGTCTTACTAGTTTTAGTCCCACTTGTGCAGTGCTTGAAGGATATTTGTACAATGTACGTACATCAGTTTTGTTCCCTTGAGATAGCATGTAAATGAATTAGCCCATAACAAATATCAAAATAATATAGAGGGATATTCGACCATTTAACATTTTTTATACAAATCTCTCTTTTTTTTACTCAAATTTTATTACTAAGGTTTATGTTTGTGCGAATTCAGAATGATTTGTTCCAAGTTGTTATTAACTGCAAACGATCCTTGATTCTAGTACCATAATTTCAAATTTGTTAGGCATGGTACATTGTAACATTCTGAAAACAATGCAATATTTATGTGAAGAAAATAGCTTACAAATCTGTCCACACACACAAAAAACTTACAATAATATACTATAATACCGAGTATAAAATGTTGATATACTTAAAATGTACACTTATTCAAATCTATTTACTATTATTAAAACAGAATAGGTTGACGTCACCAATGCCTACATGTCGCTCTCTCAATAAAAAATTTCCCGTCTAAATGCAAGGATGATATTTTTTTTTTTTTTTTTTTTTTTGTGTGGAGCTATCATATTTAACATTTTTGAAAGTTAACTATTGGAAGCTTCTACAATTTTACATAGCATACTAATGACCTCATACATTGAAATATGTATTAGGTGACGTTGAACCGATACTATATCATAATTTTGATGAAAATCTAATATTTTTAAATTGCTCTTTTTTTTTTGTACAAGGTGCATAAATCTTATCTAGGTTTTATATAAGTCGTGCATCGCACAGGTTCTTACCTAGTTGAATAACAATTAAAATAGTAATAGTTGTTCTACTCATTGTTCTTTCCATCTTGACCAATTTTGTATCACAAACAAATTCTAAATGAGAAAACATGTTGAGTAGTGTGAGTATTGAGTATTGTGATTGTGTGAAAGTAAAATTTAATGTCGATTAAGTGAATAACGAGAAGTGTGATTGTGTGAAGGTAAAAATTTTGCAATTACAAGAAAACATAAAAAATATTAGTATAAGTGTTGGACCTCGATCAACCAACTTCACTCCACTTTAGTATTATATAATCCGCTTTATGCCTAGCTTGCACGGAAATTGTTTTTAAACACCTTTTAAAAAAGCCTCATACTAATGAAGTGTGCTATCACTTATAAGGAAATCTTCTCCTCATTCTTTTTACTTCCTCCGTTAATGGTTATTTGCAACAAGTGTACCTTTTGCGGAGGCCAAGGCAAAACTTTTAAAGCATGATTATAGAAAATTAAGGGTATATGGTTAAGTATTAATCTAACCCAAAAAAAAAAAAAACAAATTCAGCTAAAATTAAAATAATAACCCACCACCACTAGCACCACCCTACAGCATCGAAACCACCACCACCACCCAGCAGCACCGAAACCACCACCACCACCCAGCGGCACCGAAACAACCCAGCAACCACAAAACCACCGCCGCAAACACCTCACCCACGAAACCACCCGCTACCGCACCCACGATACCACCAACCCACCACCCATCGCACCCACGATCCCACCACCCATGATCTGCACCACGAACCCAAGAACCCACCACCATCACAGGAACCCAATTCAAACCCAGAAAATCGAAGTTTTTAATTTATTCAGTTAAAATTGGACATTAAATTGAAAAAAATTCACAGTCCAAAAAATAGCAATTAAAACAATGAAACCCACAAATCTGAAAGAAGATGAACGAAAATGAAGAAATTGGTGGTTCAACCACCACCACCACCACACGCCACACGCCACACAGGATGATAGGAAGAAGAACGAAAATGAACGAAAATGAACGAATTGGTGGTTCAAGATGATGATGATGATAGGAAGAAGATGAAGATCGAAGAAGATGGTGGGGAGATGAAGATGGAGGAGAGAGATGGTGGGGAGATCTGATTTTTTGGGAAAAAAAGTTAGATAACTAAGTTAGATTAGGGTTATAATAATTTGTAATTATGTGTTAATATTTTTTTAATGAGAGTATTTTAGTCATTTTACCATAAAAAAGTTACTATATTAGGAAAGAAATAGTTTTGTTGCGAATAATAGGTAGCACCTACTTTTAGTAAATGTTGTAGATAACCGTTAACGGAGGAAGTATGTAGAACTTGGATTGCCTAACCCAACAATAAGAATTGTGTAAGTATCAATAATCCCAAAATGAAATAGGTCTCTTGTTCGTTTAGGATAAGGATTGTTTGGGGGATTAGGGTGGGGATTGAACCCTTCTCACCTAGTCACCCCTTGTTCCAAAACCAATACGGAGTATCACAATTCATAGAGGTGCGAGTATTAAAGGGGAAAAGATAGAGTCAAGAGTAAAAAATATTGTTTCATATTGATGTTAATATTGAGGATGATTAACTAGCCTATTAGGCTGGCTAAAGTCTTAAAAATGGCACTCAAGACCTGAAATTAAATCCTGCCTACATCATTTGTCCTTGCGTCTCTCTCTACAAAAATAATAATAATTATAATGATTATAATAGAATATTGACTGAATTTACAAACTCTACATTAATCATCTATTGTGTACATTAGTTTAAATATAATTTTGTGATTTTTTGTTAAATTCTTCTCAATATGTATTTTAAAAACATCAACTTTTAATTTTATTTACAATTTTATAACACAATTAAAAATATTAATGCTCAAAATTTTACAGTACTCGTAACATATAAGGTGAAAGTTAGGAAGGAAATTTAAATTTAAACCACACCAAACAAGGGAAACACTATTCATGCTTATCCAATTCACCAATTGCAAATCATTTTCTCATTTTTTGGATAAAGTTTGACAAAAGATGAAGTGAGATTGGCGTTGTGGCAAGTGATTGATGGTACACCTTGCTTCCTCAGTTTTTGCAAAACCAGCTACCTTTCACTTTCAAAAACCGCCTCAAAATCTTTAAACAAACATTAAAATACCCCCAGATTTTTATAACCTCTAACCCACGGTTGCAGACAAAACCACAGGCACCTTGTTATTACATACTTTACTATATATAACAATACATTTCTCCTCAAATAAATATCTTAAAAACCCTTAAAACATTTTATGATTTGATCTCATCTTCAATATTAAAGCTCTGAAAAATATACATACAAAGCTAGAGTTTTAGGATGTCTGTTAAGGAACAGCCTTTGATGGAATCAGAAACTCAAAACTTGAGGTTTTATGAGGAGAGGGATGAGGCTAATGAAGCTGAAAAGAAACCACCTGTATCAACCCAGCTATACCTCAGATCGCCGAAACCATTAGACAGAGATGTCATTCTTGCTCGTATCCAACGTCGAAAATGCGTGAACAAGGTGAAGAACACCTTGCATTCCTTGCTCAGCTTGAATGGTTCAACTACACCTGCATCCATGACTCAGGATCAGATGTGGGTTGACCTTGGAGATAACTTTACTTGTCCATGATTTTCATTTCCAGCTGCGTCTGCTGGTGTTAACTTTCAGGGGTTCTGTATTCAATTGTTCAGAGTAGTTCTGATAATTTGTACATAGTTACTATTGTAATTCATCATAGTGAATTTTCTACCCAGATTTCCTTTGGCAGGAAATAGAGCAAAAGTTGCTAATTTTGATGTATTTCTTTTTAATCTATATTATTATATGTTTACATGTACTGGCAACAGAAATGTTACTTGTTTTAAACAATCTAAAATTCCTGATAGTGTCACTTTCTCTAAAAGACAATGAGTCGGCTGTCACCTAGTAGCAACCAATCTTGGCCCCTTTAGCAAGTGGAAAGACAAATTTAGCCCTCTTAACAAATATCCAAATCTGGGCTTTCAATCCCTCCACCCTTTTTAGGATGGTTCATTATGTTAGAGAAGTTTAATGAACATGCAAATTAACCTCATTTAATAGCAAATTAACATGTTAAATACACAGTAGTTTAACAAAGTGCTGCAACTTCTGCAGCCTGTCTACTGAAACTCATGAACTTGATTCCAGATGACAGTCTCGTCTTCTGGATCTCAAATTAAACTTGCAAAGTTTACCATGATATTTTGTTTACATGGGCGCCTTAAGAAGTCTATTAGAATCAGATTATCAGAAAAAGTTGTATAAAAAATTTTCAGATCAATCTATAATGCTTTTGGCATTGATTTAGAATCAAATATGAAGGATAGTATTACATATTAACATGGAGAAAATTTAATGCTAGTAAGGCTTTTCAAGCTAGCATTTCATCTTTTGACTCACATCTCAATCCAAACTCGAGAGGTAATCAATTGTAATAAAAAGACTGGAAAGAACTACAACCACCTTCAATTGTTCACCTCTCACTTACTGGCTATGAGCCTAAGCAACAACAACAACAAAAATAAGAAATATGAGTTTACTTCAGCAATCCAGAGGAAGAGAGGAGACGCAAAGCTTGCTTTGAATTGGTCAAGACTGCAGCAGACCTAGGAACCTGCTTTTTCCTTTTCTCCAAGAACTCCAAGGAGTTCTGCACACAAAGTGAAGGTGGTAGCTCCTTCAGAATAACAGTCTCTACCCTGGAAGGTAGATCACAAGAAAAAGTCATAAAATTGTAGATTTGTATTACACATTGAGACAATGAATGGATTCAACCAAATCCATCAGCATTTAAAATGGATTCAAAAGTCAGGCAGGCTCGTCACTCCCTATGAAATGCTCTCAAGATTTGCCAATATGGACAGACTTTACAAAAATTAGAAGCATCATACCCTGATGGTTTGCTTCGTTTCTTCTTTGGTTTTAGTTTTTTCCCCTCTTTCTCATCCTCGGAATCTGATATAAATACTTGCCTGCAAATTACACCAGTAATCACTGCCCAATTAGACAATACCTAAAGGGAAAATAGAATAATCCATGGAATAAAGTAAAATATTTGCAAAAAATGATGAGGATGATTGAAGAACATACTTCTCACGAGCAGCAAGTAAGTTGACAATGTCAACTGGAAGCATCCCTGTGTTTACTTGGGATTGCTTACTTGTATCAGGTTCATCTTCATCTTCAACCATTTCAACATCATCATCAGATGCTTCAACTTTTGACTTTTGACGTGGAGTTAGCCTTTCAGCCAATTTCTTTCGACGTTCTTTCCCTTCGTGACGAGCCCTAAATGAAAGACAAATTCAAACCACAAAAATCAAACAAGTACAAACCTAACACAGTGCAAGAATGCACAAATTTTGCCAAAGAGTAATAATCTCCTGTTTCTCCACTTTACATCCAAAAAGTAATATGAAAACCCCAAGGCAATCGTGTACACTACAAAAATCAGAATCATTATCTACAAGTTTGATCCAACATCCAACACTAACTTAAGACTTCAACAAGCAATTTACAGAAACTGACAAGAATAGTAAAATGCTGATCAATCCAGAATCTTAATGAAGAGACATTCTATCTCTGTTTCCAAAATTTTGCAATCAAACCAGAGTTGATAATCGATACATAGCAAGCAATAACACTTCCTGAATCGGTTTCAAAGAATACGAAACTTCAATGTTTAATCGACAAGTTCATAAAACACAAGAACATCAAACCACAGTTGATACTTAATTCATAGCCTGCATTAACAATCCTAAATCGGATTCAAACACACGAAACTTTGATTGAACAGCTCATAAAACACTAGAGCACCAAACCACAGTCTACACTCAATACATAGCTACCAATACCACCTCCAAAGTCGGTTTCAAACAACACGAAAGCTTCGATTGACATGCTCATCATTAAAAACCAGAGCACTAAACACAATTGATACTCACATTCACATACTAAAAATCTATACAAATCACAGAAACATCACGTCAATATCAATATCATATCAAAAACAAAAAAATAAAAGATAATCATTGTGCAATTGACAACAATCGAAATTAAGCAAAAATGAAGGGAGGAAAGAGAGAGAGCGAGAAAAAACCTGGCTTTACTCAATCGAAGAGCTTTTCTAATCTCTTCATCTTGTTGAATTCCCTGCATAATCAAATCACTCAAAAATTCAAAATTAATTTCTGTAAATTGCATAATCAGAAATAGATAGGAGAGAGAAAGAGACCTGTTGAGCACTGACTTCTTCAGGAGCATCGGAATCGTCGTCTTCTCTACTAGACATGGTTGAAAACTTTGAGCTCAAACCCAGAAACCTAACTTCCCTCGGAATTGCAGGGTTTAGGGTTTTCAAATGGAAATGGAAGTTGGCGACTGTGTTTAACGACGTCGTGTAGGATTGTGTAATTTCTGGGTTATATTCTAGTTGTTGTGTCTGGGTTATTGTTTGGGCTTTGCTTTAATGTCTTGGTGGGTTCAGCAGATTGGGCCCACGGGCTCTACTGCTAGAGATGTCAAAACCACACCCGAACCGACCCGATTTGAAACCGATCCAAAACATATCCGATTTAGATTTTGATTCGCGTGAACACAATAAATTAGCATTACTCAGCTTTCAAAATTGACCCGACCCAACCCGATCTGATCATCCGAATTGACACCTTTATCTACTGTTTTGGGAGAATTTGTAGGAATAAAAAAACATTTGGACTTTGGAGAAGTTCATTTGTGGAATATGCTTGTTAAAGTCTAATATGGAGTACTCTCTCCATGTTTTTTAAGATGCAGTATTAAACAAATTATAAAAGAAAGATAGTGGAATTTATAATTTATTAAAAAGTTATGAATGTGAGAAGAAATGTATTAAAAATTTACTATCTCTATTAATAATTATTATGTGCAAATTTGCAATTTTTTTTATACCTCACATATAATATCCCTAAGTTGCACATAATATTAACGGAGGTAGTAGTAGTCAGTGGTGGATCCAGGATTTGAGGGATGGGGGTACAAAAATAAGTTTGATAAAAAAATAATAATAATAAAAAAAAAAACCTGCAAAATAATAGGTGGAGTTTATCATTTTTTCCAACTAAATTTAGATTTATTAATCCATTTCACTATTGTATTAGTATTTTCATGTACGATACACCCTAATACCCTATTCTCTGGCAACAAGGCTTATAAATGAGTAAATAAATATGTTTGTGGAAAAAAAAGAGATTATTAAGAGACATGTTATTTGTGACAACAGGTCTCTTTGATAAAAAAAAATAGTACTAACCTGTCATTGAACAAAACATAACACCTAAGAGACCAGTTATTTCACTACAAGAAAAATGTCTTTTCGTAGCGATTTTACATTCGTTACAATATGCACGTATGTTTGTGAAATAGTAGTGGAATCCGTATTAGTTTACAATCAACATAGTAAACCCATATGAAATCGAGACGAAAAACATAATAATATTTATTCACCATTTTTATGCACATTTCTAAAATTATGGAAAAGCGTATCGTTTACAATCGCCAGTAAAACCCAAAAATCGATACAAAAAACCTTTTTTACACTAGATTTTAAAATTTTGTTTGACAAAGAGAACATAAAATATGTCATAGCTTTTTGGATAAACATTTAATATTAAATCTTGAGGTTGCATGTTCGAATCTTGTATAAATCATATGTATGGTTTTTTTTTTTTTTTTTTTTTTTTTTTTTTGTAGAAAATGAGTTCAACATTTGTAGCGATTATAATAGCTATACAATAATCACCATGATCGAATGTTGTTTTCCGTATTGATTAATAAGGACAGCCCCAGCGAAAGCGAAAACACTACTAAAGGCTATGGCAACGACGGATATTGTATCGAATAACCATTCGTTAGGATTTTTTTTTGTAGCAATTACAATTAATATGAAATGTTAAAATAATCGCTATGAAAAGGTATTTTTCTTGTAGTGTTTAGATAAGTGGTCCCTTTGAATTAAACAGCGGAGTATGTGTGGAGGATTAGGGAAGTAGAGGTGGAGATTGCACTGAACAAGATAAAGCCTAGGGGTGAAATGATAGGGATTAAAACCGAAAACCGAATCGATCAAATCACCGAATTAACAATTTGGTTTGATTTTTTTGGAAATTCGGCTTGGATCAATTTGGGATTTAAAAAAAATATGGATTGCGGATCAATTTCGGTTTTGGGCTTCCGAAAACCGAATTTCCAAATCGAATTTATATAAAGCCCAATATCCCAGCCCATATTTCCCTTCATATATAAATCAAAATCCTAATTTCTTTACCCTCTTTTCCCTTCTAGCCTTCCTCACCCTTTCCCTTAGTTTCTTAGGTTTTCCCCCTTTCTCAGAATTCTCACGCAACCACCGGCCCTCCCTCACGACCTCACCACCGATCCTCCCCCACGGCCTCACCAGTTAGGCAGTCACCACCGCTCGTTTCGCCTCACCACCACTCATTTCGCCTCACCACCGCTCCCACAGCTTGTTTTTGGCCTTACCACCGCTCCCACCGCTTTGTTTCTTTGGCCTTACCACACAACTCATCTCTCACGACTCGTTTTTAAGTAATGTTGATGATGAATCTGAAATCGTTGATGAGCATAACATTTGAATTTATTTATTTATTTTTTTAAAAAAAAATTTGTATGTCTTTTAATGTTAATATTAGTGGGAAAATTTAAACCTTGTAATACAGTAATAGTTGATAAATAATATAATATAGTTTTACAGTTATTTGTCAATTTAATTTGTGTATGTTATTTTCTCTTTTAATTATTTAGTTTGCTTAGGTTTTTTTTTTTTTTTTTTTTTTTTTTTTTTTTTTTTTTTTTTAATATGAGGTGAAAAATTTGGATTATGGATCGGTTTCGGTTTGCTTATAAAAAATTCGGTTTGGTTTGGGCCGAATTCTATTTCAGTTTGGATTCGGATTGAAAATTTTGAAACCGAATTATTTCGGCTTGGGCCATAATCCAAACCAAACACCAAACTTTCACCCCTAATGAAGCCAAAGAAAGCGCTTGGTCCTGATGGTATACCGATAGACGTGTGGAGGTGTTTGGGTAAGATTGGTATTGATTGGTTAACAAACCTCTTTAACAAGATATGGAGGACTACAAGGATTCTACAAGTTTGGAGGAAGAGCACCTTGGTCCCGGTCTATAAAAACAAAGGAGACGCCCAAGATTGTTCTAACTATCGAGGGATTAAGCTTATGAGCTACACTATGAAGTTGGGGGAAAGAGTGATTGAACATAGGTTGATGGCATGCACTAGCATTTCAGATAACCAATTTGGTTTTATGCCCGGGAAATCTACTATGGAAGCAATTCATTTTATAAGACAAATGATGGAGTTTTATAGGGCAAAGAAGAAAGATCTTATAGTTTTTATTGATTTGGAGAAGGCATATGACAAGGTGCGTGCCAAGAGAGGTACTTTGGTGGGCAATGTTGAAGAAAGGTATCCTGCGAAGGTACGTGGAACTGGTTAAGGATATGTATCAGGATGTGTCAACGAATGTGAGGACATGTGGAGGGTTGGAAAAATATTTTTCTATTACAATTAGATTGCATCAAGGGTCTACTTTAAGCCCTTTTCTTTTTGCAACGGTTCTAAATGAAGTAACTAGACCAATTCAAGATGAGGTTCCATGGTGTATGCGGTTTGCGGATGATATCGTTTTAGTGGATGAAACTAAAGATGGGGTTAATTTCAAGTTGGAGCAATGGAAGCAAAGGTTGAAATCTAGAGGGTTTAAGTTAAGTCGGAGTAAGACTAAATATTTGGTATGCCGAGGTACTTAGAGGGGGACAAACAATGATGTGGTAAGTTTGGATGGAAAAGACTTGACCATGAGTGAAGGTTTTAAATATCTTGGGTTGATCATCTCGAAAAATGGGGACATTGATCAAGACATGGGTCACAGGATTAAGTCAGGGTCGCTTAAATGGAGAGCGGCTACGGGAGTGTTATGTGAGCCGAAGCATTCCCTTACAGTCGAAGGGAAAATTCTACATGACTGCCATTAGACTAGTATTGCTCTATGGTACAAAGTGTTGGGCTTCTAAGAAGGAGCACATTAAAAAGATGGAGGTTATAGAAATGCGCATGTTAAGGTGGATATGTGGGAACACTTTAAGAGATAGAATCAGAAATGAGGTTATCCGCAAGAAAGTAGGTGTGACAGGCATTGCAGACAAATTAAGGGAAAATCGTTTGCGTTTGTTTGGGCATGTAAGACAGAGACCCGAGGGTGCACCGGTACGAAGAGTGGAAGGGTGGGACCATGGAGGGGTAAAACGAGGGAGAGGGAGACTGAAAATGACTTAGTTGGAAGGAGTTAGGAAGGATATGAAGTATATGGACTTGCATGAGGGTGAGGTATTGGATCGTATGGGATGGAGGAGGAAGATTTTTGTGGACGACCACACAGAATAATCATTTTTGGTTTATGTAGCCGACCCCATTTATGGTATTAAGGCTTTGATTGATTGATTGGTAGGTAGGTTTATCTACATGACTGTACCTAAGAGACCGGTTAATAGAAAAAACATCTTCGCACTTTTTTTTTTTGCCGGAACAGGAGTACCCCCCTAGACCCGCCAATGGTAGTAGTGGGTTTCGGTGATGACCACGAGAGGAGAGATATATAATATTAAAATGTATCTTTTTGCCAAAAAAAAAAACTATAAACTTAAAAAAATATTGCCATATTTGGTAATGCTAACACTTGAAAAAACACGAAGGGAGTACTATGTATTTTAGACCAGACCCAATCCATTCCGACCTAAAAGTGACCTGATTCAAAATTTGTTTTTTATATACACAATAATTTAGCATATATCAAACTTAAATTGGACAACCTAACCCGACTTAGCAAAATTTGACTCAATTACTTGAATTGACACTTTTTTCGCTTTAAATTATTTAAATATGTTTTCTCTTCACTAAGGCCCTGTTCACTTCACCTTAAAATATCAGTAAAAATAATTTCAGTTTAGTGAAAATAAGTTCAATTCAGCAAAAGTAATTTCAGTTTAGTAAAAATTAGTAACTTTAAAGAAGAAATTTAATAGAAAATCAGTAAAAATAATTTCAGTTCAGTAAAATTAATTTCAGTTCAGCAAAAATAATTTCAGTTTAGTAAAAATAATTCCAGTTCAGCAAAAATAAGGTGAAGTGAACGGGGCCTAATTCGGGGCAATTAGTTACTCCGTATCATATTTTTTTTTTAAAAAAAATGTTTTCTCTTCACTAATAAACATACATATAGATAATAGAATAAATAAAATTGTTTGCTTGACTATATATATAAACAGAATAACCAAGCCAAGCTTGTTTTAGCGGAAAGGAGAGTACCTTCCAACCATGAGGTTGGAGGTTCAATCCCCACTAGTGTCAATTTGGGGGAGTGAGATTCCCTTACCTGCCCCTCACTCTCCCAAATTGTCTAACCTGCTAACCCAGGTTGGATTGATTTGTGAGGGATTCCAATTCGATAGGACCCTTCATCTTACCAACCAAAAAAAAAAAAAAAAAAAAAAAAACATACATAATAACTTCTAACAGGATTTAATACTAATTATGCAAGACGTCTTCAACAAAACGAATCAACTCATAATTAGATGATCCTCCATCTTTCAAAGCCTTCCTACTAAAATCACTAATCTCTCGCACTCTCTCTATTATTTCTTCATCCATATTCATCAGCCTTTTCACCTCATTTTCTACCTCCTCAGCAGTCACTAAATAATTTCCCTTTCCTATCATAAAATTCAGCCGATAATTTATACTAATCTCCACGGCCAATCCTAACTCCTTTACCAGTTCAAATGCATTCAATTGTTGATCCGCGCACATCGGCCATGTAGCCATTGTGACCCCGAACCATAGACTTTCTAATATCGAGTTCCACCCACAGTGTGTCACGAAACCTCCGATGGCTCTATGAGCCAAGATTTGGACTTGTGGAGCCCACTTAATTATTTTTCCTCGATGGGCCATTCGGTCCACGAAGCCTTCAGGCAAGGCCTCGATAAGGCTGTAACAATCGAACTCCCTAGATTAACCTTTGGAGCCGATCGTGGTTACGACCACAAGAATCGAAACCCAGATCGATCTAGGCCGTTGGCTATCTCCGTCACCTGATCTACATCGAAGCCTCCCATGCTTCCGAAGCATAGAAACACGACCGAGGATAAAGGTTGCTCATCTAGCCACTCCATGACCAAGTCTTGGTCCTGAACTTCGTGTTGGCTCCTTCCATCGAGTGATAAAATAGGCCCCACAGGATCTTGCTCTTGCTCTGATCAATCAAAACTCGAATCACATACGATTCAAGCTCCATAAATGTATTGACGAGAATACCCTTCGATTGTCTAAACATCCTAGGCATATCAATAATTATTTTATGCCTCTCACTACCTTTATCGACAGTACCAAACCAAGGCAACGCTTTAACCGGAACTCGGTTCTTGAACTCGGGTACATCTAACTCGGCATCGGATCAACAAACTCGGTAAAAATTATATCAACTCCCTCATAATCATAAAGAGATTGAGCATGAAGGAACACGCTTAAGAGATTAGCCCCCGAGGTGAAGTAAACATAAGAAGGAACATCAAGTTCACTAGCAACATCCATCATCGAGACATACATCATATCGAGGACAAAGGCAGCCGGTTTCGTACCTTGATCCTCGACCGCCTTCTTGACAAGCGGCTTTTGTAGCTCGATGATGGTGCTCAAGAAGTTGGGGGAGGGAGGATCATTATTAGGTACCACGACAGGTGGAAATGTGTAGAAAGTGATTCGGTTTGGGTCGGTTTCGAGGGATTGAGACTCTATATAAGCATCGATGGCTTTCGAGGTAATAATGAAAGGGGAGTGAAGGATTACGAGTAGGATTGAAATGTGTTGGTCTCGTTGGACAAGAAGCTTGGCGAACTCAACGGTTGAGGGTAAATGGCCCATTGCTGGGGTTGGAACCATTACTATTAGCTTCGTTTTTGACATTTTTTTGGAATTTTCTTTTTGATGAAAAGTAATCCGAATTAAGATATATATATATATATATATATATATATATATATATATATATAGATAGATAGATACACTAGTACATTATATTATTAATATGGTTCATGATTTGGTCTTGGATTAGCTTGTCAACAAAAACGTTGAATTAATAAACCCCCTGCAAATCAAGGTAATTGTGAAAAATTATACATGTTTTGCGTGCCAAATAAGTTATGATCTACAAATGATGAATAATGTCCATACTCATAGTTACAGGACAAATGTGACTGTGATAGAAATTGCGATTAATGTGGGACTCAAGCTGACTTAATATCACATGAAGACAAAGAAATTTTGGTTGAGATTAAAAATTCGTCAATGTCATTTTAATAATTTATGGTTTAATTGTAAGTGTAGCAGTGTAGGTGTTCCATTATTACAAGCTTATATCTATAGTATAATTACAATATTCAATACGGAGTAATATTAATTGACCAATTAATGGTATTACTTTAGTTTAACTTTCAAAAAAAATTACCATATGTTATGATAGATTGTCAATTATTAAGAAATTACGAAAAAATAATACCAATTACGAAATTACAAAAAAATAATACCAATTATTATGATAGGTTTAATTTTCAAAAATCATTCCTATAAGCTCTTATTATTACTCCTTCCGTCACTTATTTACATGCCTACTTACTATTTTATACGAGAATTAAAGAACTTAAAAGTCATGATTGGGAAGTACAAATATGCATGTGAGATTAGAGAGAGATATATAGAGAGAAAGAAAAGGTAGTTGGTAATTATTGAAGAGTTGGAGAGAGAAAGTGTTGGAAAATGATGTCAAAAGTATAAAAATAAATAAAAATAAATAATGACAACTCATCAAAAAGAGGAAATATTGTAAAAAAATACATTCTTAAAATAGACATATAATTTGAAACCCCCAAAAAGGAAAGTAGGCATGTAAATGAGGGACGGAGGGAGTATTATTTTTTGTTCACTTTATATAAGTTTTCTTTTTTATTTAATTCTTTTTTTATAATATTAATTTTTTTTGAAAAGAAAATTATTCATTAATGGAAGAGTCATACGACATCTACAATATAAATCAAAACTAGCAAATACAATACAAACTGAATTGAATAATATTCTAATTTGACAAAACTACGATCGTTGTTATCTAGATCTGACATTTCTAAAGGCCCTCTTTTACACCGCTGTTTGATACAGCTTTTCACGAGGGGGTCTTTCGATCTATTGTAGCTTTGGAATCGAACACCATTCGATACAATTGATTGTAGATGTAGAATTAACCTCCATGGCAACACAACACAACTCCTCATCAACAAATCAATTTTTCGTACGAAGTTAAAGAACATAGAGAGAAAAATTAACCTGATATACGGATAGAAATAACCTGATATAAGGGTAGAAAAACTCTCAAATAGAGAGACTACAATTATTGTGAGCATAAAGTAAAAACTAGTAAGAAACTAAGAGATTAGGGGCTTACCATCAACCAAAAGGTTGGTGATAGCGCCTAGAAACAAGAATTTTTTTTAGGGTTTTTATATAACATTAATTAACTCTTATTAAATGTCAATTTTTTTAACCATGGTTACTTTTATATATATATATATATATATATATATATATATATATATATATATATATATATATATGTATATATATATATATATATGTGTGTATATATATATATGTATACAATATATTATTGAGTTGTTCACGAGCTTATCGAGTCCAGTCAAAGCTTGTTTAACTTGTAGTGCTCGTTAACGTTTCAAGTTGAGCCGATGAAGTCGAGTCGAGTTCGAGTTGCTCAATTCGATTAGCACCCCGATATAAGGTAATTTAGTAATATATATATGAATAAAGTCTCTTTTTTTTATTTTTTTTATTTTATTAATATATCACATGAGCTATAGCATATCATGCTTCGTGTCCCCTATTTTGAGAATATTGTTTTCCCATATTCAATTTGTACGCATAATCGTGTTTGTACCCAATCATGTGTTGATTAATTTTTATTACAGAGTAGAATTTAGAGGAATCTAGATATTATTGAAGGGACTATCAAACTTTGGCCTAATTTTGTTCACCTTATTTCCAATCAGGAAAACTAAATTCAAATAAACTCAAATATTATAAGTTATATTTGAAATTTTTATAATTTTTTGTAATATGTATTTTAGGATAATTAAATTGCATAGTACAACATTACAATGGAATAGTGGAAAAACAATAGGACATATAAATAAATAAAATATTGGAGTAAGAAG